AGCGGGATTGCACCAACAGGTGTATTTAAATAAATTATACACTGAAATAGAGATAACAGTACATTATTGCAGAAGCCGAGGCATGTATAGTGCTTTTCTCGAACAATGTGATGTAATAATTAAAAACTAAACGATATTGCTTTTCAGGCGCAGTTATAGTAATCTGTTGAACTGCTGATGATGTGGTGGAATGTGTGTCACTACTCTTCATTGCAGCATTACATTCTCACTAGAACTAATTTTCGCCATGAAAATACAAATAAACGAAAAACAAAAAAGAACTACTAGGCACCTTAGTTTATTTTAGCGCCATTTTCTTTTTTTTTCTAAAAGTAAAAGATACCGGCAGGTATTGTTAATTCTCGCAGTTACGAATACGAGTATGAGTTTTTCTTTTGTTTACACGTATAAAATTCACCGTATGCACAGGCCCTAGAACGCGTATACTGGTTTTTAACCGATTTCAAAAAAAAAGAGGCGGTTACACGTATATATATGGGGCGCTCTATAAGTTTCCGGAACTGGACACTTACATAAACAATATTTAAAAAGTATTATATATTAAAAAATTATTATATTATAACTACAATTAGACAAAGAAAAATCTATTTCAGTAATAAATAACTTATTTAACGAACGTAATAACAAACATACACATATACACAGAACAGATATACAAACGTAAGCTACTTCTTATAGCCTGCGTCCCGAGATTGCTTTTCAAATTCGATCTTTATCTTAATAATTATTACAAGCGAGTGGAATACTTTCACAAAAATGATTGAATATCATGTTAGTAAAACATCCTAACATTCAATAAACTTAAAAAAAGAAAACTTGCGTTTCTACATTGACCCGGCCGGGAATAAACCCGGGACCTCAGAGATGACGACACCATGAAAAGTTAATGTTGTCATAGTTAATGTCTTGTATCTAACTACTTAGGGGTACGTACATTTTGCGAAGCAACTTCCATAGCCGCGCTAGGTACCTACGGATTTTTTATTTATTTTTTGCCTCAATCTGCCCAGGTTTCACAGTGACCCGAAAACTTTTGTCACTTGAATAATCTGACAATTGGGTACTTTCTTGTGGCAGGCTTCTTTTTGTTTAAGAGTCACTTTGAAACTTCAAAATTACTTCCTGGTTGAAACTTCACAATTTAAAAGTGTGCCAGAGGCTTATAATGTGGCTAGCTGCAGAGCTTTGAACCCCGCCGTAAAGTTGCCTGCTTTTCGGTATTCTCAGAATATATCACGGAGAGAGTACGATGAAGTGGCATTATTTAATTCCGCCTTCCCCTTTCCATCATCGGGGGACTAGACATGGGCTGGGATTCCACCCCTATGTTGTGGATATACCCAGGATTCGCACAAAGCGTATCGCTTCCAGATTTATTTGGCGAGCGGCTAGGGCGTGGAATTCCTTGCCTGCTGTAACTTGGTCATTTTCAAGGCGAGCGTGAATGGGAATTATTTTTAACTTATTATCTTATTAATTTAATTATTATTAACTTACATGCCAAAACTTAGTCTTATTAAACATGATAAATTAACAATTATTAAGACCCAATTACGGAGAACACCAAATCGTGCAACTGACAACAGTCCCTTTGAGATAATGTTTAGGAGACTAATTAGAACCAACGCATGTACGTTATTTACGAAACCAACAAAGACCACATCTCCACCTCTGGCACGAAATTTGTCACCTCCGCTACGGACTCTCCAGGAGGGCCAGAGAGTTCAGACTCGGAACTACATACACACTGGTCCCAAATGGGTGTTGCAATAGTAAGTAGGAAGGCCACCGCACACAGACCAGCTGCTAGCGACCAGAGTTCCTCGTCAAAATTAAGAGAGAGGACAATTATTCTGATATGCACAAATAATTGACAATGAGAGGTCAGGTAAAAGCGGTGACGTAAACAATTATATTTTATTGCATATTATATAAAAATAAAACACAAAAACACCAAATAAAAACCACTAAAGATTCATGTATCGCTGCCATCATACGCTGTCAGGAGAATAACAAAAAATAGTATCTATGTAATAACTAGAGAATGGAAAATAAAGTACTTATTTGAGCGCAAAATTACGTTGCTTACACTTGAAAGTATTAACACGAGTCTCTGGAGGAGACGCGGGAGAAACTACACACAAGGATATTGTCTAATGGATATTGCTAATTCGTTACGAGATAGGATGTTCGGTACAAGATAGAATGTACTCTAATCCGACCACATAAAATTCTGAAAACAGACTAAAATGAATATAAAATAAAATGTCTAACTTTGTATATAATTTTCGTATGAAGATATTTCGCAGTAAGTACTACAGAGAACGTGCCAAACTTTGGTTTTCAACTGAAGCCCTGTTAGTTACTAAATTGATATTTATCCCAAAATTTACTAATTGCCCTGCGGTTTAACGACACGCCGCGCCGCCCGCGGTCGCCAGCGGGCGCTTGTCGACGTCGCCTTTCGCCTATTCTTATTTTATTCATATCATATCGAGTTCTTAGGTTTTCGCGATTGTTACACATAGGAAATGAAACTATTTTTCCGGATTTAAATCGCGTATATTTGTTTTTTAAAACAAACCGACGTTTCGGGGCCCTTTACAGGTCCCATGGTCACGGTTGACTGAGGTGGTACAGTCTTCAACCAGTTATGTCTAATACTAAATGCAAACCACCCTATTTTTTCACTATAGTTACAATAGTTATTAATTAAACACCTTATTTTTAATTTTACAAAGAAAACATTACAATTTACGCTACATTATTCATATCATTTTATAGCGCGCGGATTGTGTGACGCGACAGGGGGCCACACCTCACCTCCTAAAGTGTAGGTTCGCGTTAAATGTCACAATTTGACAAATATATTGATTTAAGCATACATTGTTTTACATTTTTTCTGCTTTATCTAGAAGTTTATCGAGAACATCGCTTTGTAATTTACTAAGCAGCATTGGTGTTTATGCGTGTGTTTGGTTTGCCGTGTACTTTAGTTTAGTTTTGTTATTTATTTTATATAATACTTAGTTTATAATAAGTAAACCATATCAAGGCCTATGTCCAGCAGTGGACTTCTTTCGGTTAAAAAATTAATAACGACGATGTAACCTTTCATTAAAATTCTATAAAATTAATCCGTAAAATCACAAACATTAATTTAATTCAGGTGAAATGTCGCTAGATGGCGTTGAACGTTTTTAAAACGCGCTATCAAGTTGTTACCAAGATTTATATAAGGCTTTGCCGTGGAATTCGTAAGTGTGGTAAGATTGTCAAGATATCAAGTGAGTGGTTAAATACAGTTGTGAAATTCAGTTGTGAGTTTAAGATACATGATCTCCAAGAACGCCTTCCATAATTGTTATTGTAAGCAAGAAGAACATACCTTGTTAGGTAATTTAGATTTTTTTTATACTATCAAGTGACGAACAAATCGTGCGCCTGATGGTAAGCGACACACCTGTCCGTAACAGTTGCAGTGCCACTCAGAGTTTTAAATCGCAAAGATCTGAGACGTACTGCCACTGCGCCCGTCACTCTGAGACATAAGTTGACAAGGTCCATATGCCTGTAATTTCACCAGCACCCTTACCTTCAAAACCGAAACACAGTAATGCCAATATTACTGCTTGGCGGCAGAAATAGATAAGGTGGCTGTACTTTCCTGGACGAACTCTCACTCTTCTACAGCTACTGATTACGCAGTTTACCTATTCTTGTCGTTTGTTTTAATATGGCCATGTTCGAAAACGCTAATAAATTCGACTCTGGCTTCCCTGCTTTTTCATAACCTAACCTACTAATAGAGGGGGCACATTACAGGTATAGTGCCACTTTGCGGAAGCAGGTAGCGTACCTAATGCACAGAAAGCGGGGCAGCGCCAATGGCCTTCTTCGTACAGTGGTCGATAGGAACGATGGGCCAATATTATATCAATGGATACGGGTAAATACCTACCTCGTAAAGATTATGTCATAACAACATAAAGATTATGACAATATATATTATATAAACGGCGAACGATTAACGCCTATCAATGTTCTCCAAAAAATGTCGGCTATTTTGCAGCGGTATAAGGTTAAAAAACCTATTACGATAAACCATTGACTTACAATTATATGGACGTCGGGTCCGCGCTAAAAAGTGTCCGCACTTGTAAGGCGCTAAAATCGTATACAGAGCGCGACAGTCTTCATTTGTTCTACTGACAGCGCGATACTGCGATGACATTACAATTTAAATTTCGAATAGGTTGACTTGGGACATTTTTTTCGTGGATTTTGTATTAGACCCGTCGTCCATTTATTTGTAAGTCAATGCGATAAACAGAAAAAAAAACAAATGAGACTTGAATATGATATGAAACGCCACCATGGACAAGATGAGAGGTGCGACTAAGATTTTTGCACGCCAAATATCGAACCGAGCTCAAGTATGCGGCACTCCGCCTACTGTTGACACGCACCATACCTAGTAAGCTCTACTGTATTTATTGGTTTGCACGTAAATCTTACACTTAGACATATGTATCGTTTACAAAATTATTTTATGTACTTTAAAAAATTTGCTAGAACAAAAATTATAGCCATACGTCACTCTTATGAAGATGGAACTAGTGTCAATATTTACTATTGCGCTATTTGCATCAATACACTTGACTCAGGATTATTATTGTCTAATTATTGTGTTTAACAAAAGCAAGGGTTATTTATAATCATAAAAGGAAGTAATAGCGCGATCGGTGTGCACGCAAGCAGAGACTACATGTTCCCTTTAAACAGCAGCACCAAGTCAAAAAGATATAATGGTCGATATAAAACATGGACACTGGTGCGGTTTGAAAAATGTTATAGTTTTGCTCGTGGTGGCCAATACTTTTCACGTACTCGGTTATACTGAGAAGGAGGAGGGTCTCATTTATATACTGTTGTGGACGTCAAAATATGACACGCCATTTAGCTCTTTAACAGAAGGGATGAGTGGTTTCACCAGAAGGAACTGCACCTTCTACAATTGTTTCGTAACCGACAAGCCTTCGTACTTTCGCGATATACTAGATTTCGACGTCATAATGTTCAACATACTAGGTATGTACAAAGATATGGAGATACCAAAAAAGCGATCCGAAAAACAGAAGTACGTTTTGGCAGCCGTTGAACCTGCGGTGCACAAAGTTCCAGTAAATTTCAACAAATTTTTTAATTTAACATGGACGTACAGACTTGATTCTGATGTTACCTTCCCGTATATGGTTGTAAAAAACGAACGTGATGAAATTATAGGCCCCAAAATAAATATGCATTGGATAGATATCAAGGATATGAATGAAACTAGTTTATATGTCAGAAATAAATTGAGGAAGAAGCGTATTGCTGCTGCATGGTTTGCATCAAACTGTGAGGCTGGTAACGGACGTCTAGACTTTGCCACAGAGTTACGGCAAGAACTCGCCAAATACAATCAAGATGTGGACATCTACGGTTCATGCGGAGATTTGTGGTGTCCAGTCTACGACATACACGACAGGGACGAATGTAACGCCCTTATAGAATCAAATTATTATTTTTATTTGGCGTTCGAGAATTCTTTCGCAGAAGACTACGTCACCGAGAAGGTTTTGACTGGTTTAGAGCACTTCTCCGTGCCTGTGGTTTATGGGAGCGCAAACTACACCAGGTAAATGTCTCATTTGTTACTATACAGGGTGTAATTGTTAAGGGTGCCCATGCGCTAATTCGGTAAATATACGAAATATCAAAAACCTTTACACTGATATCCAAAGTACGTTACCTAGTGCGCAAAACGACATTTTTTTTTAAATTTAATTGCTAACTAAATTGGAGTTTTATATGTCTACTATTATATCATTTTCGAGTTTTTAAAGTGAATAGGCACTTGAAAACCCATAACATCATCAGCACGTCTGTTTTAAATGAAACAACGAAACAATATACATAAAAAACATTAGAAAAAAGGTATAAATTATTGTTCAAGCTTTAAGTAAACAGATCTATGCATTCGACATACGCAGCCAATATTTATTAGCACTTTAAGAAGTACTGCTTTGAGAAAGTCAATTGTTCGGAAAACAGAATTATACCACGTATTCATTGACTTACAATTATATGGACGTCGGGTCCGCGCTAAAAAGTGTCCGAGCTTATAGGGCGTTAAAATCGTATACAGAGCGTCATTCACGCTTTAGTCTTCGTTTGTTCGACTGACAGCGAAGCAAGCAAAATTAGACAGTACTGCGATGACATTACAATTTAAATTCAACGTTTTAGCTTTTTCATATTCCTTTACATGTCACTACGTTTAAATAGGTTGACTTGGGACATTTTTTTCGTGGTTTTTGTATTAGACCCGTCGTCCATTTATTTGTAAGTCAATGCACGTATTGCATATTTTTAGGTTCATGCCTGATGGAATATATATAAATGCACGCAACTTAGGACCAGCTAGACTAGCCACCGAGATGATGGATATCATACACGACAAGAAAAGGTACTATGACTTCTTTAAGTGGCACGGCTATTACAGTTTTCATTTCACTGGTGAGAATGATTTCTACAATGAAGTTTGCGCACTCTGTGAGCTGTTCAATGACAAGGCGAAGATGGAAATAACAACTGTATATAACACAGATTTGTGGTGGAATGAGTGGTACAACGGAACTCCATCAGGCGATGGCAGGTTGTATCTTTTATTAGACGACGATAAGCCCAAAGATTCAGGACTAACTGGATTAGTGTCGAACATATATAATTACGTTTTTGAATCTTGAAACAATTGAGGATAGACTTTTTGGCATTTGTTGAATATTATATTGGGATGTCGATGAGTGTAAATGTAAATGGTGTGCTCTGGGTCAGAAGTGAACGCCTTGTACTAGAACATCCAATTTCAGTTCAAGAGAATGTAACAGAGTTATCTCAGAAACCAAGTATGCGAAAATGTACAACAACAAAAAAAAATATTCCAATTGAAAAATAGACTCCAAATCTTAGAATAATAACGCATAGAATGATAGTTTCATATCAAACGAACTGTCACAAGTGAGGCAAAAATCAAAGTCATGTAGGCTAGTTTTAGTAGTAGGTTAATTTTCGGTTTTAGTGAATATTTATATAAAAATACAAGTTGAAACGCGTTACTTCCTTGTGGAATATGATGTTAGTATCTATTTTTAGTTAGTTTATGGTTGTCTGACGTATTTTTACACTCAAATGCCGCACATTTCGTCATTTTTAGCTAAAATTCTGGAGCTGTTCGCGGTGCAGTTGACCTTGAGCACTGACGGCCCGCCCGCTCGTGTAGGCCCATTGGGCGCGCTTCAATTTGCCTCACTTAGCGTGTGCGGACTAGGTTTCTATGCGTTATTATTCTAAGCTCCAAATTATTAAACGCAATACGTAGTGTTAGGTTGCAATCATGATCATGTCGTATTTTTCATACTACATTGTATATTGTAGTATGAAAATACGATGAACAAATATAGTTATGAAATGTATCACTTTTGCAAACTGTTACATAGAATTTATTATATCTTTTCACCATGAATTCAAGTATTTGTTGAGAAATTTGAATTATAGATGACATGTTACTTTTATATCGGTGTTGCCCATTAATATTTCTTAATGCCATAGACTGTGTCATAATGCTGGTAATCTGCCATCTGTTGTCACCTTTTGGTGTTATTGTTGGTCATAACCAATACCTCCAAAACAGCTATTCCTCGATGATGTTTGGCGGTTTTGACAGGAAGACATTTGTATAAATGAGAGCGGAAGCTTTTGTATCGGATCTATCCCTTTGTATTCTGACTGGAGAAATAAACCATCACAAGCAAATTACGTTTTATTTAATAGTATCTAATTGTTTCATCATAATCATGTATGTGTACATATATGTGTATGTAATATGTATTATAACTATATCATCTAGTTTATTTATTATCATACATTGTTGCATATATGCGCATATGTATGTACATAATATATTAAGTAATAACACATAACATTATACATTACACATTACACATTACACATTAACGTTTTCTGCGTATTCTCCTAATAATATTGTATGGTTATAATACTGTGGATGTAATTAGAGGATAACTATATTGGCTTTGTTCTATTTTATATCATTTTATTGCAATCTAGTAATAGTAAGTTGTGGTCGTCCAAAATAAAATGAATAAATAAATAGAAAAAGAACCTTTTGTGTCATAATGCATTTTGAACTTTATAAATAGCTATAACAAAGACTAATTTTATTTCATAGGTTAACAAATTACATGTGGAATAGTAAAATTTATAACCTAAACTACAACACTAAAATACAAAAACTTTATTTTATATATATATATATATACATAGAATGATAGTTTCATATCAAACGAACTGTCACAAGTGAGGCAAAAATCAAATTCATGTAGGCTAGTTTTAGTAGTAGGTTAATTTTCGGTTTTAGTGAATATTTATATAAAAATACAAGTTGAAACGCGTTACTTCCTTGTGGAATGTGATGTTAGTATCTATTTTATGTTTGTCTGACGTGTTTTTACACTCATTTACCGCACATTTCGTCAGTTTTAGCTAAAATTCTTGAGCTGTTCGCGGTGCAAGTTGACCTTGAGCACTGACGGCCCGCCCGCTCGTGTAGGCCCTTTGGGAGCACTTCAATTTGCCTCACTTAGCGTGTGCGGGCTAGGTTTGTATGCGTTATTATTCTAAGTATATATAATATCAAGTGAAGAAGTCGTGCGCCTGATGGTAAGTTACACGCCTGTCAATAACACTTGCAGTGCCACTCAGAGCTTTAAATCGCAAAGATCTGAGGGGCACTGCCACTGCGCCCGTCACCCTGAGACATAAGTTGACATGTTCCATGTGCCTGTAATTTCACCAGCACTCTTACCCTTCAAAACCGGAACACAGTAATGCTGATATTATTGCTTGACGGCGGAAATAGGTAAGGTGATGGCAGTAGTACCCTGGACCCTGGACGAACTCTTTGTCCACTGCGACTGAAACTGGGATTTACAAGAGATTTCGTCAAATATTCTTGTGAAAAATACGACTCTGTATCGTGACTGCCTCAAAAGTTCCTATTACGTTGGCAGCGTTACCTTCCTAAACGGCAATGGACACCTGCTGAAGCAACCACGCTATAATTCTATTTTTCATCGCACTTGCTCGCAGAAAGTGTCATAACATGCAGGCAAAGTCGACCGTAATGTCCTAAATTACGGCTTTTTCATTACATTACCGAATCATGGCCAGTAATGGATTTTATGTTTTAATATAATTGAACTGTATTTCTCAAAATAGTTTTTATGCTCTTAATTATGCTCCTAATTCTGCAATATTTTTATAATAATAAAAATATTTTTTTTTATATCTAATAAAAGGCTGCTTGCGTTTATGCCTTTTACAACATTTTTGTATTCGAATTATACTATCAATGGAAGTAAAAAAGTTGCAAAATCCTCAATTATTGCGTTGTACGTGGATATCGTTGGTTGTGGGGCGATATTTATTTTTCCTAAACTTGTCTTTCTATTTATTATCTCGCAAATGTGATGAAAAACATTGTATATAACACAGGCGGTATGGAAATTACGAACTCGACTCCGAAAGCTTCTAATAGATAGATAGATACACAGACACATAATACAGACATTAACTTAGACTTAACACAGTAATATATTCTACTAGTATCTCTCTTGGAAGCCATGGCAAAAGGCGTTGACTCAGCATAAATGACGCAGCTGCTCGCGACGCTGTTATTCTGTCAGGACCCTATAGGGACAGGGACGCCACTCGTAGAAACCCAAAACAAAACCAATTTAATTCAATTCAAATTTTAACCAATTCAATCCAATGCAATTTTACTCAATTCAATCCAATTTATTTATTTATTATTTTTTTCTCAAACACCTTAGCACAAAAAGCACAAAAGAAATGTATAAGAGCTATATTTAGCATTTCTCGCTTGGACAGCTGTTTGCCCTATTTTAAAAAGTATAATATACTAACGGTGCCATCATTGTATATTCTAGAATCAGTATTATTTGTCAAAACAAACCCTAATCTGTTCAACAAACTTGTGGAAGTAAGACGTAGGAATAGAAGAGATAATGATGCAGTATCTATGATGCCACATAAAACTGCATTTATGTCAAAAAGTGTGCTCTGTATGCTGCCAAGATTATATAATAGAGTCCCAAAATCTATCCGTGAATTACATGTAAATTTGTTTAAGAAAAAATGTAAGCAGTATTTAATTGATAATTGTTTTTATATCTAGTAAGATTACATAATATTACAGATGTATTTGACTAATTTATGTTATTATTGATTTTCATTCATTTTTGACATGCGCATATTTTATGGAGGCTTACAAATGTAATTTATGTAAGTTTGACATTAACATGATTTTTCGCTTTATTTTTGACATTGTTAATTTTTATTATAATTTTTCTTTACATATTTACTAGTTTTTGACAGTTTTTAATTATAATATTTTGTACATTATGCGACCACCACTAATTATATTTGTATGTTTCGACGAAACTGGTTATAGTAGCACTGTTAATGTATTGAACTGATCTGATGAACGTATTGTACCTACTTCCACAAATAAATCGATCTTTATCTTTATCTTTAGCCACTC